AAAATATTAATATACAAATGGCCACAGAGACAGCTAAAATATATAGTGTGGAATAATATGGAGTTCAGGAAACAGAAGATTGTAGCACTATGCTGTTCATAAGAATTGAAATAGGTACCTGAGGCACTACTACCTATTTTGGAAGGATATACATTAAGCACAAAAGAACTGCTGCCTACAGAGGAGGGAATTTGGGATAAACTGACAAAATAAAATAAACACAGTAAGAGGAGGCCTTGTGATGACTGACCTATGATAAAACCTATTTAGAAGTGGAAAGTGTGATACCTCAAACCTCTGCATTTTGGGTCCTCTAAAAAAAAAACAAAAGAAAACCAGTGGGTCCCCCCCCCCCCGACAGCTTCTCCATAGCTTTGGAGGCTGTCCTAGAACTCTCTAAGTAGACCAGGCTGGTCTCGAACTCACAGAGATCCACCTGCCTCTGCCTCCCAAGTGCTGGGATTAAAGGTGTGCGCCACCACCACCCAGCTGAAAACCAGTGGTTGTACTTGGCAACAAAGTCCAAGTATAGCTATCTGGAGCTCAGTCATACAGTACATGTCATAAATTATGGTCTAAAATCAAATTAATCTTCCCCTAGGGGAGTATTGTATTGAACTCAATACTTCACACATGCTGAGTAAGTGTTCTACCACTGAGTATATTTCTAGTCACCAAATGCCTTTCAAAAGACAGTTTTAGAAGGAGGTCAATGTAAGGCACATGTTAGGCCCAACACCCGGGAGGCTTGGGGGTAGTGGTGGTGTTTGCAATGTTCCAGGCAGATATAAACTACATGGTGAAACCCTATCTCAAAATAAATAAATATGGGTTGGAGAGATGGCTCAGCAGTTAAGAGCACTTGATTGCTCTTCCAGAGAACTCAGGTTTGATTTCTAGCACCTACACGGTGACTCACAACCGTCTGTAACTCCAGTTCCAGGGGATCCAATGCCCTCTTCAGGCAGCAGCAGGAACACATGTGGTGCAAAGACACACACAAGCAAAACATTCACGTACAGAAATAAATAAAATAAAAAAGCCATTTATACACTAGGTCTGGTAGTGTAGGCCTGTAAACCTAGATACTCAGATACCGAGGTAGGACAGCTGTAAGGTCACGCCTGCAAATTTGGTCTGGGCTACAGACTGAGTACAAGTCCAAGCTGGGCTATTTAGAGCAATCTCAGAATAAAATGTAAAGGGTTGAGGATATACAATAGCTCAATGGTTCAGCACTTGCTGAAGTTGTGCAATCTATGTTCAATCCCCAGTACCCCACCCCACAAAAAGACATTTCAAAAGCTGCTTTCTCTCTAATGTTTCATAAATTTACTGACTACTTTTTCAAGACAAGATTCCATGTAGCACAAGTTGGCTTTGAACTCCTGATCCTCCTGCCTCCACCTCCCAAGTGCTAGGATTACAGGTATATACCACCATGTCCAGCCAATTTATTAAGAATAGACTTTCGTGCCGGGCGGTCGTGGCGCATGCCTTTAATCCCAGCACTCGGGAGGCAGAGGCAGGCGGATCTCTGTGAGTTCGAGGCTGGGCTGGACCGATAGCCTCCGAAACAATACAGAGAAACCCTGTCTCGTAAAAACCAAAAAAAAAAAAATAGATTTTCATAATGTTAAGTTCAGTTTGCCTTCCTGGGCTTTTAAAATATGGTGGACAGATCTTGTACTTACATTCAAAATCTTTAAATTTTACCAAGTGTCCTAAATGTTTGGTATCAGAGTTGAAAAGCAAAACAAAACTATATAAACCCATTTCCAGCTACTCAGGAAAAATGAAGTGGGAATATCACTTATACCCAAGATTTTGAGACTAACTTAAACAGAGCAAGACCCATCTCAAATCAAAACCAAAACACCCTGTATGAACTAGATACACTGTCACCCCAGATCTCTTGGGAAGCTGAAACAACAGGACCACAAGTTGGTCTGTATGGACTAAAAAGGGAAACTGTTTCCAGAGGGAAAAAACCCCACCCTCACAAGTCTGGAAGATGGCTCTATCAGTAAACTGCTTGTGGTTTAAGTATGAGGGCCTGAGCGCAAATCCCCAGTCACCCATACAAAAACACCAGGTGTGTGCGTGACCACATGACTGTAATCCCAGCACTCAGGAGGTAGAGAAAGCTCCCTCAGGCTTGCTGGCCAGCCAGGATAGTTAAATCTGTGAACTCTGCACTCAAAAATTAAGGGGAAGAGCAGCTGAGGTAGATACCTGGCACCACTCTCTGGCCTCCACATCCACACTAACAAGAAACCCACTCTCACATCCAGCCATAGTAGTCATCAGGCTGTTTGGCAATCACCTATAAACTATGTAGTCTTCCTTGTTAGACCATACATAGCAAGGCAGTCGCTCACAAGGGGAGACCTACAATCATTATGTCTCATCCACCTCTGTCTTCTCAGAGTGTAGATACACACATGCTGAAAAGAAATCACTCCTCCCTAGAAGTAAGTGCCCCTCAGCATCTTCCTGGATCAGTACTCACATAGGGGTATGCCTATGCCTATAGTGCTTGGGATGGAAGGCAGTGAATAACTCACCGTCTTTCATACTCCATGTCCTGATAGGATCTTCGGGAGCTGCTGGGGCCCCTCCTCGGTCGCTGGTTCCGGTTCACTTCCCAGCCACCCCCGCTGCTGCCACCATGATCTGCCAGTCTGGGTGATGCCTCCTGCAGAGACTCTGCAGAGAATGGAAGGAAGAAAGGGGTCAAGGCAGTTGGTGCAGAGAGGGCCTCCTTGGGAGACTGTCATTGTCAAGGCTCTCAGCCGTCCTGTAGCCCAGAGACAGACATTGTTCTCTACTTCCTTGTGCTTATGTGAATCAGTGCAGGAAGATAGTCCCATTTGGCTCTCTCCTTCCTTTGCACGAAGCAAGATTCTACTGCCCTAAAAACAATAAAGCCCTTATTAAAGAGAATCTTTCAGAGATTTGTTGGGACCACCAGCTACGTGATCAAGACTTTGCATTCTTAGACCAACTGCTGAATGCTCTGCCTAGATTAGGCAAATGTCACAGAAGTAAGTCCACAATAATTGGATGGGGATATAGCCCTGGAATAGAACCCTTGACCAGCATGTTCAAGCCCCTTGGGTCACATCCCAAGCACCACAAAAAATTGGCAAAACACCAAGACAAAAGAGCAACAAGGTATCATTTCATCCTCTCAACAAGATGCCAGCTATACCCTGACAAGGTAGTCAGAAACCTTGGAAGGCTGTGGGAAGGAGGGATGGAGGGAGAGGGTGTTTGTGTGTAGGAGCTAACTTGGCGACAAGACAGCTGCCACCTCCCTGGGCTCCTGGCCTACAGAGTTCTGGTCCTCGCATAGCAAGTGGCTCAGCCGTAATATGCAGCCAGGTCCCCAGGTGGATCTCTCCCCAGGGATGATAGGCCAAGCTTTCCAGAAGCAAAAGGAGCCTCTTTCTGAGGTGGTCCCCAAACATCTTGCTCTACTGAGTTGAAGAGAGCAGTCACTTCATCCAACTTTTGGGGCTGCCATGATAACTACGAGCCCTGAAAGTGAAGCAACACAAACAGGGATAAGAATTATCCTAGAATCTTCTGGTGCCACCCACTGTACAGGAACCAAGTAAAGTAAGGCAGTTACAGTATCTGCCCAACACTATGCTGCCATCACACCTTTCCTCCAAGTACACATGTACCCATTTTCTCCTTCACCTCAGACCACGGGGAACCAGCTAACTGCTCCCAGATAGGGAGAAGAATCAATCAGGAACCCTAGTGGCCGAGAACCTGATGTTAACCCCTCAACGGCAAAAGGCTGAGTCAAACATTGTCAAACACAGCACAGATAAGAATCAAAGTTACAGGCGAGCCCCCAAATAACCAAGGGCCAAGGTCACAGAAGGAAGACCACAAGACACATAATCAATTTCCCTTTTAACACTTTACACGTCAGTGTCAGATACAACTTCCAAAAGAAGAAAAGTAGCATATAGTCTCTGTCCACCCCATCCTCCCCAGCATTCACTAAATAGGTTGGGATCGGCCAGTACCACGATAGCTTCCGGACCGATAAGGACCGGAGATCAGATACACACCCCAAGGATTAAAAACTATGTTCACTTTCCCTCTTCGCGCTCGCCTCCACCACCCCTGCTACATAAATGAATAGAGGCCGCAACCAGATAATTTCCCCGTGGATAACTAAGTAACACAGGGCAGCCAGCACGCCCCTAAAATAAGAATACCCCCGCAAAGTCGCAGGCATACACGTTCCAAAGGCTCAAAGTTCAGGGAAGCAAACACAGTAAGTCAAAGTACCCCACTCCCATCTGTCCCTCCCTTCCCCCACCCTCGTGCACCCATCCCGTGTCCCAATCGCGCACGCGCTTTTGCTTTCATAAGAAAAAGCGGGGGGGGGGGGACACCCCCTCTCAGGTGCATCCCTTGGCTCTGTGTGTGCAGTTCATCCCCGCGCCTCTTCTATGCACACCGCACCCCCGCGCCATTACCTTGGCCCCCACCACACGCAACAGCGCTCACCTTCTCGGCCCGGGCTGTCAAGGGAGGGCTCCCTGGCATCACCTCCGCCAGCCGCCTCCTCCTCCAGAACTGCTAGTTCAACGGGAGCCGACGAGCGCAACAACCAAGTCCGAGGCTGGGGGCAAAAGAGAGGAAGGGGGGGAGGGGAGACGCGTCCGACGCGCTGCCCTCCCAAGGAAACTCAGTGCCGCCTCCTCCCAGCCGGCCGCAGACACCAACACAAAATGGCGACGAGGAGACGGCAGCCGGCGCTCCGACCACCATCCACCTACTAAGGGAGCGCGCTCTGGCCGGCCTTGACGATTGGTTGCCGTCCGCCATGGGCGGGCCCTGGACTTCTCTGATTGGCAATCCTATACTACCGCCCCATTCCCCGTGAGAACACCCCGGGAGTCCAGAGAAAGAGTAGCTATTGGCTACCTCTAGGAGGCCCGCTTTTTAGAGCTTGCTTTCCTTTGAAGTTGAAAGACAAGCAGAAGCTCCACCTCTTTCCCCACAAGGCCATCTGCATGTCATCGCTTTCTTCTTAAGAAGAAAATAAACAGACCTCTCAAGATCAAATTTCTCCGAGCCCGACAGAAAGGATAAAGTTCATTTGGTAGCGACACGGCGTGGGAAGTAAGACAGAATCGACGTCTCGAAAACAAACTTAGACCAAGGATCTATTTAGCGAGGTGAGGGCGGAGCGAGAAAAATCGCGCTGGGATCAACTGCAGCTGCGCACATAGCATTTCCGTGTTCCCTCCCCCCACCCCCCACCCCCGTTCCGCGCGGCTCCCCTGTCCCCGACCCAGCAGCACAAGCTGTCATGGCGGCCCGGCTGTTAAGTTTGTGTGCTCGCCGCCTTTCGGTAGCAGCGGCGGTACGAGGGCTCCCAGCTGCCCGCGTTCGCTGGGAATCCTCCAGGGCTGTAATCTCCCCGTCTGCTGTGGAGAGAAAGCGGCAACGAGAACCGACCATGCACTGGCAGGAAGACCCAGAACCCGAGGACGAAAACGTCTACGCGAAGGTGAGAGGGAGGGGGAAATCGGATGCCGCAGTGGCCAATCTGGGACTGGCAGACCTGTGTCCAACAGGACGTTCTCTGACTCGAGGCTAGCGCCGTGGACAAGATCTTCAAAGATTCGCAATTTTGGCTTGTTTTCCTCTTTTTTTTTGTTTTGATGTCTTTGGTCTAGGACTCGAAACAGGATTTAATTTACTTGTAGACAGAAATCACACTTAAAGTGAGAAGCACCCAAGGTGCGTTACAAACATTATAATCAAGATAATGCTAAATTTTGAGATGGAACATGCTCGGTGCTAGTCTGTGCTAGACATTTTGTATCTATTAACGCATCTAAGTTCTAAAACAGTGATTTTGAGTTAAACTCTACTACGGTTACCATTATGTGGATGAGGATACTGAAACAAATACTTGCTTGCCCAGGATCACATAACTTGAATAGGTAGATCTGCTGATACTTGAATTTAGGACTAACTGAATTTCTGTGCTTTATGAATAATAGACTCTGTAGTCAGACACCCTAGGTTGGAAATTATTCACTTGTGTGACCTAGAGCAAGTAAATTTATAGTTGTTGCCTCAGTTTCTTTGTAAAGTAGGCCGACCATTGGTGGCACACGCCTTTAATCCCAGCACTCCGGAGGCAGAGGCAAGCGGATCTCTGTGAGTTCAAGGCCAGCCTGGTCTACACGGAGAGTTCCAGGACAACCTCCAAAGCAATACAGAGAAAGCCTATTTCAAAAAACCAAAAAAAAAAATTAAAAAAAGAAAAGTAATAGGACACCTAAAAAATAGACCTGCTTCATATGATTGAATGAGTCAGAATGATTACAACAGTTCCTGCCACTTCAGAACTATTCAATTAGAAAATGTTTATTATTGCCATTTCCACCTTACTGGGATATGTGAGATTTGTATACTTGAAAAGGCCCAGCATATAAGTACTTTATCAATACTAACCTCTGGTTGAGGGCCTTAAATATATAGGGTGCTATAGGTTAAGTGGACCCATAGGAAATTACCAACATTTAGCTATTTTTAATCCTTTATAAATAGCACTTCCCAAGGGTGCAACTTAACAGACAGGGTGATTAGGTAATGCTTCCAAACAAGTAGGTGAGGCCAATTTGGAAGTCAAGTTAAAACCTTAAATGATTGGATTTGGGGAAGAGCTTTCTAGGCAGTGAGAGCAGCAAATACAAAGCCCTTTGGTGAGAAGGAACTTCACATACCCTAAGGATAGGAAAAGGATTTTAGTGAGGAACAAGAAATTCATTTGAGGGCAGATTAGAGACCAGCATATATGTTTATGAAGCAGCAGGAAGCTCTTACTGACTTCTGCTTCTCCTCAGAACCCAGACTTTCATGGTTATGACCAGGACCCTGTGGTGGACGTCTGGAATATGCGAGCTGTCTTCTTCTTTGGTTTTTCCATCGTCCTGGTCTTGGGTACCACCTTTATGGCTTATCTGCCTGACTACAGGTATAAGGGTTTTCCAAGAGTAGAGTGGGTAGAGGCAGAGGCAAGGGTAAAGGTTGAAAAGTCCCTGAGCAGAATCTTTGCCCTGAACTGGTGGAGTGTGGGGTGCTGACGTGGGGAACTGGTGTCTAGTGAGGCTCTCTCACATCCGACCACACCTGTTTCTGCTTCTAGGATGCAGGAGTGGGCCCGCCGAGAAGCTGAGAGACTTGTGAAATATCGAGAAGCCAACGGCCTCCCCATCATGGAATCCAACTGCTTTGATCCCAGCAAGATCCATTTACCAGAAGATGAGTGATGAGTTACTGAGAAGGGCTTAAAAAGCACTACTTTGTTCACGCCCTGCCTGTTACTCTTCTGGTCCCTCAGCACCTTATTAAAGGGATGAAAAGGTGGACTGGTTGCTGTTGCTTTTGTTATGGAAGAGGATATATGAGAGAGAGTGTGACAAGCCTTGCAAGGGCCACTGCTGCCTTTCTTGGTTGTCTAGAGCTGTGCACCTCTAAAGTTTGTTTGCTGACTTAGTACTTTATCCTATGGCCCTGTGGGTTGCACAGTAAGGATATTTGGCTCCTCTTGGATCTCAGGTAGTTGCTGTTAGGTAGCAGCTAGGGCTAGAAGCATCTGAAGCACATCTGGTCTGTACAGCCAAGGTTTCAAAAATGTCTGGCACTTCAGTCTTCAGCATAGTAACCTGGGCTGCTTATAGCAGTGGTTCTCAACCTTCATGATGCTGCGACCATTTAATACAGTTCCTCATGTTGTGACCCCCAACCATACAATTATTTTCGTTGCTACTTCATAACTAAGTTTTTACTGTTATGAACCATAACGTAAGTACTGTTTGGAGATAGTTTGTCAAAGGAGTTGTGACCCACAGTTGAGAACTGCTATGTTAGAGGGTAGTTTAAGGCTCTTCTGAATGGAGATACATATTGCATATAGGAAGAAATTGACAGTGGCCGTTTATACAAAGAAGCTACCATACTGTAACCTTCCTACATTCCCACAAGTGCTGAGATAACTGGTGTGCGACAGCAGAGTTTTTCTGTTGCTGAGTATGGCTATCTGGCTCCCTGCTTTTACTGTTCTTCTGTTGGTCGCTCAGTTGTCTGCTTGTTGCCTTTCATTATTAGTATGAAAGCTAGACAGCAGGCAGGGAGCTTTCAGTTCAGTCCCAGTGTGATTTTCTGCAACCAAAGAAGGAAGTGTTTCAAAATAGACTCACAGTTTAGTGCTGTTGGACAACCAGGAGCAGTGGCCTGTGTACTTTTGGGGGTCTCCCCTGACCAACTTGTAAGGAAATAACCCACCCCTGTTTAGCAACTTAGAGCTTATGGAAACATCTTTTTCCACCCTTACAGTGTACCATCACCTGCCCCACACCATTTTGCAAAGGCCCAATCATTACCATTCTATTTTTTTTTGGTTTTATGAGACAGGGTTTCTCTGTGTTGTTTTGGAGGCTATCGGTCCAGCCCAGCCTCGAACTCACAGAGATCCGCCTGCCTCTGCCTCCCGAGTGCTGGGATTAAAGGCGTATGCCACCACCACCCGGCAATCATTACCATTCTAAGCAAGTGCCAGTGATCTCAGGAATCAGCTGTTAAGGGGATAGTTAAAAATTTTAACAAGGAGCTGGGCGGTGGTGGTGCAAGCCTTTAATCCCAGCACTCAGGAGGCAGAGGCAGGAGGATCTCAGTGAGTTCGAGGCCAGCCTGGTCTACAGAGTTCCAGTACAGCCTCCAAAACAATACAGAGAAACCCTTTCTTGGAAAACCAAAAAAAAATTGTTTAGTAAGGAGCTGGAGGTGGTGACCCACTCCTTTAGTTCCAGCACTCAGGAGGCAGAGGCAGGCAGATCTCTGTGAGTTGGAGGCCAGCCTGGTCTACAGTGAGTTTCAGGATAGTCCGGGCTACACAGAGAAACCCTGTCTCCAGGAAAAAAAAATTAAAAATTTAGGAAGGTACAATACAGAATGAAAAGATTCCATCGCTTGTATCATTTTCTCAAAAGATGAGTGGTAGATACAATGGCTTGGATGGCAGGCAGGCACTACTTGAGTTAACCCTCCGTAATGCCCATTCTCCATGAACCCTTTCTCATCCTAGAGTATGCCATGGGACTCCCTGTGTCTTCCCCACCTCTGAAGGGCAAAGTGGAGCTGCCTCTTGCTCCTTTGAACAGCTTGAGGCCAGGGCCACACTCATCTGTCTCCAAGGCTCCTCATGTTTGACAACCTTTAGGCCAGCTAGCTGCTGAACCTCCATTGGCCATATTTGGCCGCTGTAAGGGGCCCAAGCTAGATAATCTCTACTTGGCACTCGTTAAAAATTATTTTATTATTTTTAATTATGTATGTGTGTGTGCCAGCAGGCACTTATGGAGTCCAGGGGCATCAGATCTCCCTGGATCTAGAGTTGCAGGTAAGCTACACAGCTGGATGCTGGAAACTATACTTGGGGACTCCTTCAAAAGCAATTTGATCTCTCAGTCACTGAGCCATTTCTCTCCAGCTCCAAACATACTTTTAGAAAAGATATATTTATTTTATGTGTATGAAGGTTTTGTCTGTGTGTATGTATGTCTGTGCTAAATATGCACAGTAGGCCAGAAGAGAGTATTGGGAGTCCTTGGAACTGGGGTCAGAGCTAGTTGTTAGCCACCAGATGTGTGCTGGAAGTTGAAGCCAGGTCCTCTGAAAGAACAGCCGTTGCTCTTAACTGCTGAGCTATTTCTCCGGTCCCACCCCAGCATACTTTCTTTCTCTATGCAATCTCTTTGTTTTTTTGAAACAGGGTTTTACTATTTAGTTGTGGGTGGCCTGGAACTCACTGTGTAGACCAGGCTGGCCTTGAACTCACAGAGGTCTACCTGTCCCTGCCTCTGCCTGTCATGTCTCTGGGTGCCAAGTGTTGCATCAACTTTCCCTGGGGAGACAAGAACAAGCATCTATTCACTCCAAATAGTTCACCAAGGACAAACTGGGGAGATGAGAAAGCCCCTAGTGTGTGAAGTCCTGAATGAATGTGTGCTGTTGACATAGCAATGGCCATGTCAAGGACCCCATTGTCTCAGGTCCATGGGAAAATGGGGATGCCGTGCCCAATCCTAGCTTGGGGAACTGGTCCAAGTGCAGATGTTGATAGTGCATACAGAAAATTATGCTATAGATTTCTCCACACTTCCATATTTGTGTCCTGAAGACTCCTACAGAGACTGTATCTACTGATACTAGCTAATCCTGTCTTCTTCATCCAGCTATATTCCATAATCCTTGGCTCCTTATTTATCTGGATGCCATAACTCCGTCGGTTAATTCTATATAAAAAGCATACCAATCTTCCTAGAGTACGGTGGTTCCTCCATCAGAGAGTCCAAACTACCAGATCCCAGCTTTTCTGTGTGTACGTGTTTGTGTTTTTTTCACTCCAGTCAGGTCCACAAACATTCTCACCCAAATCTAGCTTGGTAAAACTACAGGTTTAATTGGGGTTCCTTAAAGGAACATGGGCAAGGAGTTGAATTGTTTTCTTTTAAGGCAGCATTCCACAAGGATATAATTCAAGAGGAAGAGGTGCTCAGGTGCATTCTGCTCCAAGTAGTGCTCAGCATAGTGTGTGATTGATGAATATTTGATTTAGTCCATTATCACTTTTAGCTAAGATGAAGTTCTGTATGTATTCTTAACCAGTTTACTATCTGACATGACCTTTATCTGAGGAAAATGTATTAAATTAATTTCTTGTAACAAGGACATGGTGTTAGTATTCAGGCATCTGTACTGGCCTGCCCTTGGGGTGCTGACAGGATACACCCTCAGCTGCAGCCACTAAGAGCACCACCTGTGCCTGTTCACTATGTTCCCTTTTAAATGGGCCCTGCCCACCTTCTCTTTCTTTCTCTCCCTCTCTCTGCTGTTCCCCCTCTTTCTCCCTCTCCCTCTCTCTCTGCTTCTCTGCCTATCTGTCTCCTGTCTCCTCTCCACCCTGCCTTTCTTTTCTTTTCTTTTCTGCTGCTCCTGTCCACAGAGGCTGGTTTCCTCCCTTTCCTGCTCCCTTTCCCCTAATTAAAAAAAGACCGTCCACGTGTGCTCTGTGGCATTATGTTTTTTTCTCTCATGTTGCTTGCTTTTTTTAAAATTACGACATTGAGGGCTGGAGAGATGGCTCAGCGGTTAAGAGCACTGACTGTTCTTCCAGACGTCCTGAGTTCAATTCCCAGCAACCACATGGTGGCTTACAACCACCTTGAATGAGACCTGTACCCTCTGCTTGCCTGTAGGCAGAAGGCTGTATACACAATAAATAAACAAATATTTAAAAAAATAAAATAAAATGACGACATTGGTCCCCTGACCAGGCAAGGCTCTCCTGGCGCTTCCTCCTGCCCGCAGGCAGTTTGAGGCACGCCAGGATCCTAGAACCTGGTCCACTTATGACAGCCTGGCTCCTCTGGATCGTTGGGTCCCTCCATCCAAAACTGACACGATCTGTGAGCCACTTCCCCTTCCCCACCTCTGGCTATTTCCTAAGAGTGAGGAAATATGGTTTTCCTCTTAGGGCCTCATTAAGCCCAGGCACCAGGTAACCGCTGCTCTTTTGGGTTCAGAGCCTTGGCACCCACCCTGTGCGTGATGATGACTCACTGGGCAGCCTGTGCCTGTCTGGAAATGGACCCTCTCTGAATTCCTGGGACGCTAGGAATTGCAGACCCTTGGGTCTTACTTCTCTGCCTCACTCATGAGAACTGTGTCATCGTTTATACCTCCTTGCTCTCATTGGACGTGTTTTTGGAAACCCACTGACCATTCCTAATCACCTATTGGTGCAGGACTACCAGCTGTTGACCACAGCGCTATCAAATATGTCTGGGTGATGGGAAAGGATCAGGTGCTTTAAGCCCAGGGAGTCGATTTGGATCCACCTCGAACAGAATTTTGCCAGGTCCGGGCAGTGCCTGATGTTTCACAGAGCCTGGACAGTGAAGTGAAACAGCATGGCACCTTTTTCTCTCATGCCGCTTCTTTTTTTTTTTTTTTTTTTTTTGGACAGGGTTTCTGTGTGGCTTTGGAGGCTGTCCTGGAACTAGCTCTTGTAGACCAGGCTGGTCTCGAACTCACAGAGACCCTCCTGCCATCTCATGCCACTTTTAAAAAATTACAACACCGTGAAATATCGGGATGTGGAGTGCCTGTCAGCAACAGTCTGGATAAGACACAGTTCCCACAAGGGAGGTGAAAACGAGACCCAGTGATGCTTTAGTTGGAAAAGGGATGCGGTTGAAGGTCCAGCATGCCTCAGGGCAGGGGCCGTGCAAGAGGGACCTTGGTGGGAAACTCCACTGTGGGTGAGGGACAAATACCCCATATACCCCATGCAGACAGAGCTCACA